GAGGAGCGGTCCCGCGGGGCGTTCTGCACTTCCTCCCGCCGCCGCCACGCGCCGCCCTCCGCCGGCGGGAGCCCGCCCGCCGCGCCCCCACCGGCCCGCCAGGGGGCGCCGCTCGTTCCCGCGCGGCGCGGAGCCTGCCGGGAGCCGCCATCTTCTCGGGGAGCGCTGCCGGGCGCGGCGCCGGCGCCGGGGAGCGGACGGGACGGGACGGGACCGGACCGGGCCGGTGAGTGCCCGGGCGGCGGCGGGACCGGGGCGGCGGCGGGACACGGAGGCGGGCCGGGCTGGCCGCGCCGGGGGCTCTCGCCGCTCGGGGCGGCTCGGCGGGGCTCTCCGCGTGCGGCGGGGGCTCGGTCCCCCGCTGGCCGCCGCCGCCCCCGGCCGGAGGCGTTGCCATGGGGACGGGCGCGCCGCCGGCGGCCGGGCCGGGCCGGGCCGGGGCTGCCCGGCGGAGCCCAGACCCGTCCCGAGCCGTGCCCCGGCTCGAGCCTTCGATGCTGCTCTCTGCCAAAGTGGATGAAAAATTATCTGTGCTCATAAGCGCTTCTGTGGCCCCTGTGGTTCTTTTGACGTATTTGAATATTATCTCTCCTTGCCCACTCTTTTGTTATTTAATTTTTTATTAGGCCCATCACTTTCTAGAACTGGTTCTTGTTAATAGAAATGCAGTTTTGTTCCATTACAGCAGCTATTAAGAATTCTATAGGGGCAAGTTCACTCAAAGTAATTTTTTCAGTGGTAATTTAAGTTTTGCACAATGTCTATGATCATATGCTTATATATTTCTCTCTAACAGTAAGTGTATTTCTGCTTCTGTACTACTTGTCTAGTGAATCTTTCTTCCTGCTGAAAGCCCTATAAATGGGTGTAAGCATGCATTTTGTTTGGGTAATTTTTGCATTGTTTTTAATCTGTATCGCTGCAAAATGTAGACATATTTGCAGCACTACTTTCATTATCCCTTTACTGCTACAGCCTTAAATGGCAATTTTAATGCAAATATTAATGTAGCTAACTGGGAGAATTTAGTTTCCTAAATGAACATATAGAAACTACAAGATCTTACAGTAGAACAATTTTGAAGGAAAAGCAACCAACTGCATGAAAAAACCCTCTTTTACCTTTTTGCCAAATATCTTTTTTTTTTTATCTAATACCTGGACAAAGAGCAGAAGGATACAGATTTACTTAATTACTCATTGTTTATCCTGAAGTAAATCGCCACATAACAGAGAAGAAAACAGTGAAGTATTACCTCTAAGAAAGCAAGTTTTTGTGTGATGGATTGCTGCTTAGCCTTTTATTTGGATATTTTAAATTTTCTTAATTGCTTCCTTTTGCTATCTGCTTGACTGGTTTGCAGTTTTCTTTGAGGTCCTTTAAACAATCCCAACTACTCGCTGTTATGAAATGCTTGGCACCTACAGTACTGGCCAAGAAGGGCAAAGGAATCAGTTAATGATTGTTCTGCATCTCCTCTGACCTTGCCCTTTGCAGTCAGCAGCAAAAGTGAAAGAATGCTGATGAGGATGGTTGGTTATGGGTTTTTTTGACTGCTTCCACTGATGCAAAACAGACTTGCATTTGTTATCAGAAAAGCAAGGAAATGTGTGTTCATAGCTCAATTTTAGAAGTATGAAAATTAATTTCATTTCAGGCCATGTGTATTTATGATAGGATTTCTGTCTGTTGCTGTCCTCCCAAGGTGGGTGGTACAGCTGCAGAGAGCTGAGGAGTTCCAGAAATCCAGTTTATAATCAGATATGGTATTTCCTAGGAGAGAGAAGTCTGGATCATGAGATTTAATTGTCTACTTTACATTCTTTCTCCTTTTTGCTGGCCTCTAGTTTTTAATTCCAGGATTTTGTTTTGTTATCTTTGGATGTTAAGGGGTATGCCCAATTTATATCCCTTACTAGTTTTAGTATAACATCTAATTACCTTTCAGAGTTTCCCTGACCTCAGACTCTTTCATCTTTAGATTATATTTTAATTTGGATTTCTTGGCCAAGGGAGAGAATTTTTAAATGTGTTGGTTTTTTTTTTTTTTTTGTCATAGCTTTTAAGTTGTGTCTTCATAAACAATGCTGAAGGTTATGTAAAAGAGGTTGCTAACCTTTTTTTTTTTCTACCAACAGGAATGTAAATATTGGAATTTGTTCTAAAGATTGGTGGAAAATAGCAATGAAACCAGTATCTGCTTTGATTAATCCATTGCTATGCGTCATCTGATTGGATACTAATTCCTTAGGGAAAACTGTTGTAAGTACTTTTTGTATTGTTTTGTTTAACAGTGTACAGTCTTTTGCTGCTTTTTATTTTTCATAGCATGGTGTCTTTTTTACAGAGTTCTAATCTAAAATATACTGAGCATGATAAATCAGGCTTGAGAAACCACAGGATTTTTAAACATGAAAAATGTAGTTATGTGTGAAGACTGAAAGGCTGTTAGGATGAAGAAGGCATGCTGCAAGGCTTGAATTGATTGTCACTCCTGTCATGTAAAATGAAGCTGCACATGTCTTGTATTGTCCTTCTCCTTCAATGATTTGGAGAGTTTCTTATTAAATAAAAAGGCAAGCAGAGTGTTTTCAACAGGAACAACTTTCATATTTCGTTTTTGGTAAAATATTAGAATTAGTTCCCAAGTCATCCCCATTTTCTGGCAAAGTTAAAAATAAAATATAATGGATAATCCGAGAGAAGTTTACAAGATGATGAGGGATGTGTGTGTATAAATACACATAGTTTATATATGGATGTATATATATGTATATGTGCAGATTCTTCCCATTCTTTAACAGCAAAGCATTCCTGCTGTGACACCAGAAGGTGTCGGGATGCTGTTCTCTCTCGGGCTGTGACACCAGAAGGTGTTGGGATGCTGTTCTCTCTCTTGGAGCTGTGACACCAGAAGGTGTCGGGATGCTGTTCTCTCCCGGGCTGTGACACCAGAAGGGATCAGGATGCTGTTCTCTCC